GCCAGGCCCCTGTGTCATCTAACCGGACAGAGGGTTAGGACGGCAGGGCCCTCCTAGCTGAGAGGCTGCTCGCCTGATGGCTTATAGGTCGGCGCTAGGTGATACCCCATCCTCATCTCGGGGACCTCTTTTTCACCTGACTGGAGTTCAGATAGGGCTAATCATCTTTGGCTGGGGAAATGAACTGGATAGTCTATTTGCAAGTGTGAGTGCTGAAACGGCCCCTCCAGTCCAGGGAGCCTGGCAAGTCCCATCTCCCTCACAAGGGAAAGTTCAAATACTGTGTATATCTAAAACACAGAAAGTGAATCCGTGTGTTTATAAGCTGCAGGGCTTAGATGGCCACCCAAACGGCTTGCATATTTAAGCTCCTGCAAAGTAACTAAGCAGTTCAGCTAACCAAGCCAGCTCTGGTATACCAGATGGACAGATTCAAAGGTTCCACTGGGTTGCAAAAATACCTGAGAGAGTGCAAATAAACGTGAAACACCTTGGTGTGACCGGGGTGTGCCCAGCTTTCCGTGGGGAAGTGAGACAGCCTAACAGAACCTGGCCTGGAAGCTACAGGCCAGCAGCCCCACCAAGGCGGGATCAGAGGGAAGAACTTACTCATTTGGGGCCCAAGGCAAACACCACACTGTTGTTGAATTCTTAGCAGAATGGCAAATTTTCTTCCCCAACGCCCTGGGAGGTGTGAGTGAGGGTGGGGGGCCTCCCCCAGGCCCCTCCCCCCCCACCCATGGGCACTGTAATGGCCGGTCTGATCCCTGGGCTAGCCCGAGGGCCAGGAATGTCAGCGAGCTTCGCTCTGCAGTTAAGCCCCTGCGCCCTAGCTCTGCCACCGCTCACAGCGTCCTGTTAGTGGAACACCCAGGAAAACTTCCCCCAGTTAATTCGTGTATCAGATACTCACTGCCCGCCCTCACAACAGGAATCGCCTGCCCACAGAGTTTCCATCCCCCGAAAGTGCATTAAATGCAGGTGTGCCCGGCGCCGAGAGGCGTCCTGTGGGTTCCAGACAGCCCAGATGCCAGCCCTGCTTCCCAGGGGCCGCGACGCGGAGAGCTGGGGCGGGACAACGAGGCTGAAGCTAGTGAGAAATCGCCCCGGGCGAGGGGGGTCCTCTCCCAGGGCCTCTCACGAGCTGGAACGCAGCGCGGTGACCGCCGCGCCCACTCCGAAGGGCCCGGCCCCGGCTCGCACTCACTGTGTCTTCCGGCGGCCCTGGTCCCGGTGCAGCGCCCACAGGTCCACCTCGGCGCGGCCCAGGAACTTGTCGAGGCCGAGCAGCGCGCGGTGCAGCACGGTGAGCTGCAGGGTGGCGGCGGCCGCAGGCGCGGCGGACAGCAGTGGCGGCAGCTCGAAGGTGGCCTCCTCGCGCCACACGGGCGCGCCCAGGCTGCGCTCGGACACCGAGGTGGCGTACTTCTCCTTGCCCACCTGCATCACCGCGTACGCGTCGTTCGTGCCCCCGGGGCCCTTGGCCCGCAGGCCCCGCGCCTGCAGCACCGTCACCTGCACGTGGGTTGGGGACCATATGGCCCCCGGACCCCGGCCCGCGGAGGCCGCGAGGGACATGCTGACGACTCCGCAGCCGGCTCAAACGCGAAGAGCACACCGCGGCCGGCTGCCT